TAAAGCCATCTTTATCTATAGATCCTAATAGTCTATGTGCTTTTTTCTTTAAAAAACATTCTAATGTTCTAGCCAAATCTTTGCGTACGATTTTTGAAGTATCATTTCAAACTAGCACTTTGCCTTATTTATGGTCATTAGCTAGATTACATTTACATTACAAAATTACAGACCCATCTCCCAGTGTTGCCTTACATGCAAAGTCATGAAATCAATTATAAACCAATCAATTATTCACCATATGGAGGAAAACAATTTGTTATCCAACAGTTTTGTTTTTTAAAAAATTGTCATGTAATTTACAACTTTTGAATTGTAAAAATATTTGGACTACATACCTTGATCAGGGCAAAGCTATAGATGCAATTTATATAAATTCTGCAAAGCTTTCGATTCAGTAGTACACAATAAATTACTCTTGAAACTAAATTTTTACACAAATGGATTGCTTCTTTTTTGTCTAGTAGGCTGCAAAAAGTTAAAATAAGTAAGTCAATGTCTGATCTGGCATCCGTTAGCAGTAATGTTCCTTAGGGACATGCCATAGGACCCATTCTTCTCTTAATTTATATAAATGATTTATGTGATCAACTTATAAGTAATTGTGTCCTCTTTGCTGATGATGTAAAATTATATAATATTATTGAAAACTCACTTGTTTTGCAAAATGACATTGATCATGTCTTTGAATATAGTCTTCCATCTGGCTACTCCAGAATTTGGTTAAGAAATGCTCAGTTTTACATATCGGAAAAACAGAACTAGAATGTAAAGTATACGTTAGGTGGTATTCATCTAGTAGATGACCCTTATTTTGTTAAGGACCTGGGTGTACTCATCTCTAATGATGTATGTTCTAAAGTTTATTGTAACAGCATTGCTAAAAATGCACTAAAAGTTGTAGATTTAATTCTTCAAAGTTTATTTTCTGGAAATATTGTATTGCTCAGTAGAGCTTACAAAATATACATTAGGCCAGTGGTTCCCAAACTTTTTCAGTCCACCACCCCCTTGGTACTACAAACTCATCTTCGGTGCCCCCCACCCAGGGGTGGGATTCAAATTTATGTGGGTGTGGCCTAATTTGAGGGTGTGGCTTGATCATATGACTGGGCAGGTGTGGCTTGCGGGTCACATGACCGGGTAGGTGTAGTTTGGTGGTCATGAGATTAGGTGGGTGTGGCCAGGTGACTGGCAAACAAAATACAAGTGGTCCTCACTTAATGGCTGGTTGTTTAGTAAGTGTTCTAATTTATGACTGGCCTCCCCAGAGCTACTTGACCTGTTTTTGGAGTTTTGACAGCCTTGCACACACATATATACACACGTACCCTTCCAACCCTGCTGGAGCAGGTCATTGGACTAGAATCGGCAAAGCATCTCTGATTAGATTCTAGTAGTGAGTAGAATCTAATCAGAGATGCTTTGCTGATTCTTGTTGATTTTTTTTATTTGTATTTCTTTATTTATGTTGCAGAATTGCACTGACATGTGTGTCCCTTTTTATGCACAACTCAGAAGCTTTTGTGATTCTTTGGAGCAAAAATTACTGACCTCTGGCTTTGCTCTACTTTTCAAGTGTGCCGCCACTGCCACATTCTAGGTGCCCCGCCCCACAGGTCCACCCGATTGAGCCTGCTGCACCGGAAGGACCTGCCCAAGCAAGTCCAAGCGGAGCAGTGCACCAAGTCAATGGAGTGAGCCTGAGAGAGGGAAAGAGAGAGAGAGAGAAAAGAAAGAGAGAGAGAGAGAGAGAGAGAGAGAGAAGGAAGAAAAAAAGGGAAAGAAAGAAAAAGGGACAAAGAAAGGAGAGGGGGATGGAAGGGACAGAAAGAAAAAGAAATAAAGGAGGGAGGGAAGGAGGAGAAAGAGGATATATCTATTCTAGTCCAATCACCTGCTCCAGCAGGGTTAGAAGGGAGTGTGTGTGTGTGTGTGTGTGTGTGTTCCCCTTGTAATTTACCAGTACATTTTGATTTTGCCTTCTTCAGAATTGGCATTGGGGAAAAGTAGTTTTTTAGGGTGGAGATCTGGTTCAAAGGATCCTGTTTACAGCCTCAACAAAATATGAGAGCTTCCTGATAGTCTTGACCATGTTTCATCCACAAAACCTTTAATAAAAGCCAAAGAGGTTTCAATATGCTGGCAAAGATGTTTTAACTTGGAAAAGGGCCTCAGTCTAAACTCGGCCCTCATTTCAATCTGATGCATCAGGTGTCTCTCTCTCTCTCTCTCTCTCTCCCCCTCCCAGACTGATTTTGCTCTACTTTCCCAATGTGCACGCGGGGCCGGTGCTTCAAACATGGATGGATGGATGGATGGATGGATGGATGGATGGAGAGGGGGGGGGGTAGGTAGGTAGGTAGGTAGAGATAGGTAGATAAATGGATGGATGGATGGATGGGTAGGTAGGTAGGCAGACAGGGCCATCCTTTTGGATGGATGGACAGACAGACAGACAGACAGAATGCAACAGCGGCGGCACTTTGGGAAAGTAGAGCTATTTTCCCAATGTGCTACTGCCACTGTGTTCGACACGCCAGCTCTGAAGGGTCACCCCATTGAGCCCCTTGCATCGCTCCGGTGCAACAATGAATTGGGTGAGCCTGCAGTGCTGGCGCCTGGAATGTCCCCCTGCTGCCTCTTAGCACCCGCAAGGGGGCCAGCAGAGAGGCACTAAGAGGCGATAGGGGGGCGTTCGAGGCGCCGGCCCCGCAGGCTCACCTCACTGACAAGAACACTTGAAACAATTAGTATATAACGTTTCCAACAAAGAAAGGATTCAATTATGCTATAGCACCCCCCAAAAACCCCACAGAATCCATCATATTGGAGTAGAATCCAGCCTAACTAAATTAAATACAGATGAAGCTGATAGAATAAGACACCAAGTTACTAACATCCTATGCACAAGCAAACCACCCAAACGCAACTTGCACAAAGAGGAATTAAAAGCCCTGCAAGCCCTAAGGAATGACAGCAGCATAATCATACTTCCAGTAGATAAAGGTAATGCTACAGTAGTAATGGATAGAAAAGACTACGAAACAAAATTGGCAGACCTACTCCAAGACTCCACATACAAACCCATAAACACGGACCCAACCACGTATCTGGAAAAAATAACCAAGAAGAAAATTATAACCAGCCACATGAGCAAAGAGATCCAACAGACGATCATCCCAAGATAAAAATCTTCCAGATCCCCCAAACTATAAGGCCTCCCAAAAATACACAAAGAAGGCATACCTCTCAGAACCATAGTCAGCTCCAGAGAAGCACACTACAAAACCTAGCTAAACACTTAGCAAAGCAGCTACAGCCCCATGCTGAAGCAGCTTCACATGTACAAAACTCATACCGCCTCTTGGAAATGATCAAAGATCTACATGTGGAACAAGAAGATCTGCTTGTAAGTTTCGACGTGGTTTCATTATTAACTCAAGTCCTGATAAAAGAAATTTTTGAAATCAAAACTTATATATATATATATATATATATAAATAAAATATATACACACACTATGTAAAAGATATATACACACACTATGTAAAAATGGATGTATGTGTGCGTGCGTGTGTATGTTCCAGCACTACTCTGGAATGCCTCAAGCAATTCCAACCAAACATGGTACACAGATGACTTACCCTCTGCAAAAGAGGAAGAGAAGACTATTCCCAGGGGATAAGAGAGATAGAGCTGCTACATCTAGACATTCAGAGACAGTTACAACACCGTGAGTCCTGACTACACTGTAGGAGAGATAGAGCTGTTACATTTAGAGCTTCCTTTATACTGTAATTTGTATACTCTACTTAAACCTTTAAAACCCTGTAAATTAATTACTTTGATTTGACACTATAGATATAATTTATTCCTTTTGCTGTCTAATACAGGATTGGGATAAATAAATATCCAGGCAACACTGGATTATCAGCTAGTTTATAATGTAATATAATTATTGAGTAAGTTTGGTCTATAGTTAAGGCCCCAGGATTGTTATAGGCATGAAAGCCAGATGGGTAATTTTCAGCAATCCCATTCTCAGTCCAATCCACCACTTTGTTATTTATAAAAAAACATAAAGGTGAGATATAAATAGGTTAAATTAGAAGGCCAAATTAATATAGACAGAACTGCAAAAGAATGTTTCCTTAATGGATTCTGAATGAAAAATGCATGAAGAAACTGACAATAATAAAGTCTATCAATGTCACTTTGCTTTCCTGATCAGAAAACATTTATCTTTATGAGGCATTAAATGTTTAAAGTTTGCTGCTTGTAAGTGTTCGGCAAGTTTCCTTGATGTTTTGCAGTCCAACCCACCAGAGAAGAAAAAAAGGAGCCATAAAATTGAGTTTAGCAACTTGGGTAAATCCTTAGGTTAGCATCAAGCCGTTTTGCAGCTCCTGGAAACAATGCATGAGCAAATCCAGTAATTTTTTAATCCATGGAAATTGGTCCAAGGCTTCACCCAGTTTTTGTATGTAAAAAGACGACTGAAGTATCACCACTCTGGCAACTTTTGCAAAAAACAAACAAACCCCCAACCCCCAACATTAGGCTAAAACTGGTTAATTAAATGGTGGCTTGTGGGTGGTGAAAACCCAGATAGAGGAATAAGAAGACAAAAAGTGCATTGTACATATCTGAACAATTGAGTGTACAAATTAAACACAGGGTACCATTGTTACAAAATTCTACTTCGCTAAACGCCAGCTCCCACAGCTCCAGCTAACGTGACCTGTGGACGTTTAACTCCGATTATCATAGACAGCTGCGAAGCAAAATCAAATACTCTGACGAAGGTAAGCTCGAAGGTTTCAGAACTCATTAAACTCGAGGCGGGCGGATCCATTCAGAAGAGGGCGCGAGCTCCATTCGCCCTACCAATAGGGGCGGAGCATCCCCCTCCTTTTTTTTTTTTTTTTGCCCCACGCTTATAAATGGATAGAGAAGCGAGGCAGACAGAAAGAAAGACGCAGGCGCGGTGCACTACGGGACCCCCCCCCCATAACTGCTATTGGACGCCGCGCGCATCTTTTTAACCCCAGCGGCGCCTGACGGCGCAACACGGAAGTGAAATGGCGGCGGCAGCGCCGGGAGGTGGCGGGTCCCAGTCCGCCGCTCATCGCAGGTTGCGAATCCTTTCGGGCCACTTGCGCAGCGCTTCGGAGGCCGACCTGTCAGCTAGCCAATGCCGAGGGCGAGTAGCCGCGACGCCACCAGGATCTCAGTCGGGCACCTTCCCCAAGAGACGGTAAGCGAGGGGAAAGGTGGTCGAAAGCGGCGGTTGCGGATTCTCGTCGGTGGCTGCGGGCTGCCCGAAAGGCCTGACACCTTTCATTGAGAGGTGCTGGAGAGAGGAGGGAAGCGCCCTGCCCTGCCCTGCCCTGCCCTGCCCTGCCCTGCCCTGCCCTGCCCTGCCCTGCCTGTCAGCTTGAAATGTGCCGCCGGTTGATTCCTCGCGCGTTCATCCCTGGCTGATATTTAAGCAGACGGTTCGCTAAAAGTATAGTTGAAGCATTCAAAGGAAATACTTTAAAAAACAAAAAACAAACCCACCCTCTTCTTTGTGGAGCTGCAAAGCGGGCAAATTTTTATTAAGTCGCGGTGAATCCTAGCGGGCAAACCTGTTGGTATCTGTAGAGGAGTTGATAAATTGAGGAGCTTGATAAATTTGCTTAGCTTTAGTGCTATCGCTGAGTTCAGTAATAAAGTTGGTTAGTTTCCATACTTAATTCTTAAGTACTTATACTTGCATACTTAATCCAGCAGTGAATATGCGGGTGTAAGTTTGCACCTCACTACAGTTCTTAATATCATGGCATGATATTAATTTGGGTGGCATAAAGTCAGGTAAATTTGGGGCACTGGAGGATGAGACAGTTGTACTTGAGAGACAACTATGTCCTACTCTCCTACTCAGTCATGAACTGCTGACAAAAGACATATTCTCAAAATGTTGTTAGAAGCACAGTGGAAGTCACCTGGTTAGTATTCCTAAAATAGGTTATAATTCTAGTTTCATCATGCTTGTCAGTTGTAATTTTGTGTGTGTGATGATGAAGTCTTCTGGACAATTTGGATCTTCTTGCATGTGACTTTGGATAATCTTTAGAAAGATTATAATCTTTGTAAAGATACGGTGGTGTTATATTGTGTTTTCTTTATAATGTTTTGCAATAAAGGTTAAAGTACTAGATGTGTTCAATTGTAGATATAAACATACAGTTCATAAATGTTTGCTTTTTTTTAACTGCTGTCTGTAATAGGTTTGCATGTTTCAGTTATTTAAAATTTTTCTATGCAGGGCAGGTAATCTTAGACTTGATATTTCCTTTTTAAAATGTATTAAGATTTTATGAATAATTGTAAAAAGATCTTGAATTGTTCTGAAAGGAGGACTATAAATCCATTCAGGTGTGTAAAGTGCAAAATTTAGCAAGTTTATAAAGAGCAGTATAATAATTCTGAGCCCCAGTGTTTTTATTGGATTTATAGTCACCTTTAAGGTCAAAGCTCACTCTAATCTTTAATGTTTTGTGGATTAGTTTGCAACACACAATGTTGAAAGAAGAGCCAAAGCTTTGGATGAGCCACAGAAGGAATTGGAAGCATTCCAATAGGCCTGTGGATTTTCCTCATGTTTGCCTTTCGCTAACATGTCAAGAGATAGATCTCTAACTCGTTCTCTTCTTTGGCCCTGAGGAATTTGTTATATTTAACCAAGATGGTTTAGAGTTCAGCTTGCTAAAATAGTAAGGATACATGTAGGCCTTGACTTATCAACACAATTGAGCCCAGAATTTATGTTGCTCAGTAAAAAATTTGTTAAATGAGTTTTCCCCCATGAGTTTTCTTGCCACTGTTAAGTGGAGTTGTTAAACTAGTAACATGGTTGGGTGAATCTGCCTTCCCCATTAACTTGCTTGTCAAAAGATCGCAATATATGATCACATGGCCCCAGGACGCTACAATCATCATAAATATGAAGCCATTGTCAAGCATCTGAATGTAAATCACATGAGCATGGGAGTGCTACAACAGACATAAGTCTGAAAAATGGTCATAAGTAACTTTTCAGTGCCGTTGTAACTTTGAATAGTCACTAAATGAACTATTATAAGTCGAGGACTATCAGTACTTGTGGTGGTGATGGGGTACAGGCAACAAAGATGTCTTTTTGAAATGAATGTACATATTCTTTAAATAAATGGCTGTTCTGGGCAGAGCATATTGGAAAAACTAATGAGCTGTAGGCCTTTGGAGTTCAGTGTGTGACGAAAGAATAATAAAAAGTTTTGGAAAGGTATGCAAAAAAATGGTACATCATAAATGACTGCATGCCCAAAATAGAATATTTATAAATTATGTATTCAGGAGCATACTAATGAGCTTACATGAAATAAAATATTCTTTGAGTCAAGCAAAACTCAGATGATTTCACAGACATGTCTGCATAATGTTTTGCGTGCCAACATGGAGATAATTTCCCATTACTTTCAGGGATGTTACTTTGCCTTCATAATCTAGTGCAGTGTTGGCAATTTTTTTTGCCCCCGGGTGGTGAAACGGGAGCATGCACATGGGGAAGCGCCAGATACCAGAAGAGCAACTCCTTGGCGCATGCACACAGGAGCTCTGGAAACCAGAAGAGCAGTTCCCAGACACGCATGCAGAGCTTCTGGTTTCCAGTACGTGCATGTGCGTCAGCCATCTGGTCTTCCAGTTTCTGGCATACATGTGTGCACAAAGACCAGCTAGCTGGTGCACATGTGTGCACTGGACCCTGGAAGAGCAACGGGCGATGTCTGGCATGCCCAGAGAGATGGCTCTGCGTGCCACTTCCAGCATCCATGCCATAGGTTCGCCATCACGGATCCAGTGTAAATTCCTGAGATTCCATGGAAATATTCCATCCAAGTATCAAAGAGGGCCAACTTTGCTTAACTTCTGTGTCTAGATTGGTGCTGCTACTAAGTTGATTGTCTTGATGTACATTTTTAAATACCAATGGGAAAAATAATCCAAATTCATTTAACTATATTCCACCAACAAGAAATGCATATTCTACAATACTTCTCAAGTAAGCTGTCCTTATGCATATTGTCAACCCTCCCAAATAAACCAGACAGGAAACTTGACTCGATGAACTAATTCTTCTTTATTGTAAACCACATTAATAGAATCTTGCAAATCCAGAAGAACAAACTTCCCACTGCCACTTTAATTGATGATCCAGTCGGATGGGTCTCTTCTTGGTTTCTTTCTCTGCCAATTAAACTACTGAGGGATCCTGCTTCTCTTGTCTGTTTTTTTTTCCTAGACAGCATCTCTTCTCTTTGTTCCCCATAGTCATCCACATATTTCATCACACATATGCAGTTAAAAATACAGTTTTCCTTTTTTTAAAAATGCATACCTGTTGTGTTAGAAGAGTTGCAAAGTCTCTATATCTATAACTTGAAAAATTTCATTAAGGATTAGATTCAGTAAAATAATTTATTATACAGGTAGTCCTTGACTTATAACCATTTGTTCAGCAACCATTCGAAGTTATGAAGGGACTTATGGCTGGTCCCCAAAGTTATGGCTGTTACAGTGCCTCCAACAGTCGCGTGATCAAAATTTGGGCACTTGGCAGCCCACATGCACTTATTTTATTTATTTTATTTATATTGCTGCCTATTTGCCTATGGTGACTCGAGGCGGCTTACACAATGTAAAACCATATTTAAAACAAACAATAAAAAACAATAAAAACTAACAAAAATGATTCCAAGAGCCCTTCAACTTCCTTATTTTGCCTATCTCCCCCACATCTATGATCTTTTTGCCTTCTACGCTCTGTGGCTTCTGCTGCTCTAGCTGACCTTCTCTATCTTGTTCCCACTGCTAACCAAGTTTGCCTGCTCTGGCTCTTCACAAGGCAGCTACAGTTGCACAAGACTTTTCCCCCCAGATCGCATATGGTGGTTTTCTTGGGAGACCTGAGGAAGATGGATTCACAGGAGGGCTAGGGCAAGCACATCTCAGCAGCAACAAGGATCAAGAAGATGAAGACTTTCGAGAAGAAAATCAGCTGGGGTGCAGGGCAGCAAGGAAGGCTGGGCTGGGGTGCTTTGGGCTTGCTGTGATGGTGGCTTTGCACTGCACTTCTGGGGCTTCCAGGGGCAGCTGCTTAACACTGCCCTGATGGGTGAGCCGAGGTTGGGCTTCCTGCTATGAAGAGCTTCATGCTGTACTGTGACTTTGGCTTCTTGCAGTTTCAGAGCTACAACATGGCAATCAGCCCCAAAGTCATATTGTTCTGGAGTTGCTTGCTGCCCTGCAAGGCCAGATATTACTACTGTGTTTCTCATATAATAAGGCCGGGTCTTATTTTTTTTTTGAGCCCCGAAAAAACAGCTAGGCCGTCTTTTCGGGGGTGACTTAATTTCCACCCCCTTGCATCCTCGGGCAGGTGGGCGGCGACGGCATGGATGTTGACCTCGGCGTTGGTGGGGAACTTTGTATCGGGAGACCTTCCGCCACGGTTGCTTTCCCTTCTCCCTGTGCTGCTGCGGCATTTAGAGCAACACTGTGGTGTTTGGCGCAGCCATGCAGCATTTGGCGCAGCCATGTGGGGCCGGCCAGGGCTCCTTCCTGCAACCGGAGCCCGGCAGAGACACTTGGCTTCAGGTGCTCCTGTCACCGCCTTCCCGGGCATCATTCGAAGGCAAAGCCCATTCTTTTAAAAATGACTCCCTACTACCGGTACAACAAAGCCTGCCCTGCCCAAGAGGGCAGCCCAACCCCACATGGGGAGGCGAATCTCCCAGGGCCACAGCGCAGGATCAGCCCACCCCAGGAGAAGTGCCCAGCTGCCATCCCTGCCTGGCACCAGGCAGAGTGCAAAGAGCTTCGCCTGGGGCACCCAGCACAGCTGACAGGTGCGCCCTCCTGCCTGGCGGCAGAGTTCTGGCCAGAGCAGCGAGCGCTTCCCCGCCGGACCCTCCACTCATCCCACCAGGGCCGCGCCGGAGCCGGGCGGGGTTGGCAGAGCCGGGAAAGCGAGCCGCTGGTGCGCACCCACCTGCCAAGCGAAAGAACCGGGCTGACTCGAGCTTGGCTTCCTTCCCAAGTCCCTCCAGCCCGACCCCGAAGGGGCCACTGGGAGAGGCAGTGATAGCGCCCACCCATCCATGGACAGGGAGGCAAGGCGACAGCCCGCACCATGACCTCCTCCGAGCTGAGCCTCGCCGAGTGAGCGCCTCT